ATATATATATATATATATATATATATATATATATATATATATATATATATGCCATACGTGAATTTTGTCTCCATATAGTCACACATTCATAAGTAATTATATGAATTAAATGGAAAAAAGAAATTAGTTTCATTCGATTAAACGATTAGTATCACGGAATACCACATACATTAACATTTACTTTAATTGTACAATATTTCTTTCCATGTTACGGATATATCATAATTATTATTATGTAAGATCATGAAAGATTATGAAAATATAATTCATATATAATCATTTTTCCCAGATAGAGTACATTTTTAGATACGGCTTAAAAATGATATTTGATAATAACATATCATTTTTCATTGTCATAAACTATATATATTTAAAATAAATTTGTTGCCTAATATCGCGACGATAATACCGGAAATTGTAGTAATTGACCGCAGCATACATAAAATAGCGTATAAACACCACTTTAATGTAAACAAACATTTTAATGTTTACTCACCTTCGGTTTTTCCTCCGTTTTTTATATAGATACGGACCGAGACCTTTGTATTCTTTCATTCCATAAAGAGCGTGGAAATTAAATTTGAGGGTATAATGTGCAGGAGAAATAACTACTGGAAGATACAAATCCAATATCTGCGATATTTTACAATAACGATAATTCAATAGTTTCACCTTATCCGGTGTGTTTACTTTCTGGAGATATATTGAATATAGTTCAGTCTTTATATTGTAAGCGTGTAAACGTATAGACCTTGTCGGATGATATACGTGTATCAAGATCTCGCTTGTACCGAAGAAGAAATTGTAATACGGTTTTACGACGAGATGAATATTGTATAACTCTGGCTCCACTACATCAACCGTTAAACGATCTGCAGTTGAAGCGGACGCACAATCTCCGTGATCCTCATTAGTAGTTAATGTTGCCATCACGACGCTGAATATTAAGAAGAAATTTGACAGCAATTTTAAGCATACCATGCCCATTTTTGCGTCAAATATCTGCGCGAATAAGTTGGTTCTAGATTTAAAATAAAATAATATGATTAGAATAATACAACATAGAATAGAATAATATAGAATAATTAGAATAGAAAATAATATCATTAAAACAAAAATAAGCTCAGAATCGCACTGCAAGGCCATTATAGTTAAATTACATTTCTCGTATTTGAAGAAATAAAATTGAGCCAACAAGACAAATAGTACGAATGCAGAAACAATATTCATTAGCAAGAACCGCTCTATGTATGTATATCGTTAATACAATACGTACATTTTAAATATTTCATATATAACTAATTATACTCTTTACATTTTATTTCGTTTAAAAAACGTGTAAGTTCATGAAAAAGAATTGAAGCAAAATACAACCACTTTATTGTTTGCCATTTCGTCGTTGGACACTTGTTCGTAGTGTTTTAGTTATATCGTATTCTGATACACTTCTTCGTCGTAATATTCCGTCGTCTACTAAATTTCTCTGTCTATATTCCATTGTTTACATTTTTCCGTTCATGACATTGCTTATTACTATCTTGTGTATATTTTAACGCTTTTTAATTTAAATCGGTCTCTCTCTCTTTATCTACATTATGCAATTATATCTATAATTATTTTAGTATATTTTTTTTTCTACGCAGATAAATCTTTCGATCTTTAGTAAGACATCTTTAGTAAGACAAAAGATCGAAGAAATTTAGTATCAATTATCGATCTTTAGTAAGACAAAAGATCGATAAGTGATACTAAATTTCAACTCAGCTTGGATCTTTGCTGTTTCTTGAACTATTTTTAATTTTAGTACATAGTAAATTTATAAAATTAATAAAGCGGAAAATATTTAATATACCACACACAAAAAAAACAATGAAATTTGGCAAGTTGTTGTTACGTAAATATGTATATGTAATATTGTAGACAATAAAATGGAAAACGATTAATAGTCGTAAACGGTGAAACATCTTGTAGTTAAGGGAATGAAATGTCCGACGAAGAAGTGTCTACGAGTAAATGTCTCACGAGGAAATGATATACGACGAAGTGTATATAATTGTATATTTATATCTTTGTAGAAATTATCAAAACAATATTAAAGACTACTTATGCCGAAAGACAGCTTAAAAGATAGATAAAACGAGAGGAACTATCCGATCCACATAAAAAGTATCAAATTCACATATTAAATTTACAGGAACTGTAATATCTCAAATATCACTTACAGATATGTCTGTTAGAAAGAATAAGGCATTCAGCTAGCGTGGAATAATATATCGCTACCTATATCGCTATCTGTTACGAGAATGACGTTCCTACAGAGTATTAATGACAACTTCAATGCTGCTTTCCTCCGGTATACTTGCAGTCGTGCGCTTAGTCTAATATTGTTTTTAATTTGTAAGTCTGTCGTCTCACATGGTTTTGATTGTTGCTGAGCTTAAATCGAGATATCACATATGCCTGCAAGAAATGATAAAATATTTTTATGTAAAATCCAACTGTGAATATGTTGTGGTTTTATTTTCTAAGTACTTAAACAATCATACGATAAATCGTCATTTGTTCATCACAGTAGTAACACCTATTCTCAACACTAACATATATTCGTGAAGGTTATATCTTATATTCTCGACGAACTACTGCGAACTGATAACAATTACGGCATAGGACGTGCTTATAAACTCGAAGTATAGGGTGACTAGCTTAATACTTAAACGTGAGGAGAGTGCGGAGAGAGGGGCACATAACATTATACCCCCTACTTGAGCTATATATGTGAACGACGGAGCGTTTAGTCCTCTGTTCATACATGTAACACGTATTAAAGCAATAAAGAAGATATTTTCCAAGGTATTTAAACATCTTCATGAGTAGCGTAAAAAGTATCAATATAGCAGTTTAAGATACAAAATATTTTATTTCCTTCTTAATGTACACATATAAATGTAACACATATAAATATCGCACGATAAATAAAACATGTAAACAAGATGTCTGACATGAGATTGTCGAAAGCACGTGTGTAGGTAGATTGGAGAGATTAAACTAAACAAAAAATTTTTCTACCATTTTACTTACCTAATGCAATGTTACTCTATTCGAGCGTTGAGTGCAGATAAGTTAGCAGGAGAGGGGGAAGTGGCGCGAGATAAGCAATAATTAACGTAGTCCGCTCATCCTCTTTACAGCATCCCACTCAAAATATCACACACAATCATTCGCCAATCTTCTTTAACTCAAAATTTTATGTGATTGTTCATAAAACACGAGAGAGATTTTTTTTATTCCGTTTCACTTTAGCTACACGTATACGAAAGATTTATATATTATTGTCAGACACCCTATATAGTAATCATGTTTTCCACTCATTAATTGAAAAAAATTATTCTAATAATTTAAAGAGTTGACTAATATCCCGCATTCGGAATGTAATGTACATGATATTGTTCATATCGCATGATAAGAAGTTGATTTTTATTTCATTTATTTCAAATATTTATATCATCTTACTGTAACACAAATTTACTTACATGATTTTACTGTATTACTCAATATGTGAGTCGAAAATATCGTCTATTTAATAGGTGTAATTAAATTAAGAATTAAATTGTGTATTGGGTATACAGACATAAACGCTTCAACACAAGAAATTTTTTAATTACAATACAATACTATACTTTATTAAATAATAGCTCATTACAATAAATTATAAACAAGCAATAACATATCAAAGAAGAACGTTTATAAATATATATATATATATATTTCCTGTTTCACAATATAACGTATAATTTATAAATAACAGGAAAATATTATATATACATATATATATTACTTATATATGAATTCTATACATGTTTAGTACATGTGTATATATGTATATATATACATACGTGAGGATGTATATAATATGTGTATATATATAAACTTATGTATAGATATAAGAATATATCAACAAACATGTTAGTCTAACGGTCATAGTTTTAAAAACAAAGTAAAATATTATTTATAAGTAATTATTTATAAATTGCAAGATATGTTGTTGATGTGGCCGTTTCTTCGAATAATTTTACTGTGTAACAGATTAATAATATTTATTTTACAGATGATTAAATTTATCAATTAAATTTTGCATGTAAAAAAGTCGAGCATTTAAAAATTTATTAAATACATCTTGCTGTACTGCAAATTTCGTATCAACTTTTTGAGAAAATTTCAGCATCTGAACAAATAATTTAGATATATATTAGTCATAATTAGTAGTGAATTAGTGAAGTATAATTACTAAGTATTAAATTATTACTTATATATATATATGTAAACGCAAGTGATGGATGAAAACTTAAAACTAAATAACTAAATGTAAGAAAATTGTAAAATTTACCTGATAAAGCTGTTTCCGAGAAAGGTTCAATATGACGTCACCCCATAGACTCGTCAAACTGTCTATTCCGTAAATCCTGTAAATATTTATAATATATAACTAACTATAATAAACTAAATTTACTACAACTTTATAATTACAAAAACAAATAACCATTCTGCTATAATGGCGAAATTCCCTAATACATGTTTAAATACAGCAGTTTTTCCCAAATGCCTCCTTAGAATAGAGCGATAATGTTCTGTAAGTTCTTCAGGTTGGATTAAATTATTTATGCGTTCATCCCTGATAAGAGCATTCATATAATAAACAATGAGCCTCTCATCATCAGTACAAGCCAAATATTTCAATACATCCGCCTTTTTTGTTATTAAGAAATCAGAAAATAGTGTAAACCAAGTTATACTTTCTATTCCTTTCATTCCCATACAATATACCCAATCCTTCCACAAAGGTAAATTTCTAAAAATATGAAATTAAAAATTAAAAGTATGTGACGAAAACTTAATTTTCATATTTTCCTATAGCTAACAAGCTGATTCAGTTTAGCTCGAGGAATGTAAAAAATTAGTAATTGTAAAAAAAATCACTTTATTTTTGGAGGATGTAATTCCCGGAGCAACATTGTAGCAGCGGCTTCTTTACATTTCTTAAGATCAAATTTACAAGCCCATCTCGCTGCCAGCAATCTTAACGATTTCGTCATTTCATCGTCTTCAGCACGTTCTTCATATGTTATATTTTTAAGAAGGCTATCCAACATAGCCAATATAGGCAGCTATAATATTAATCATGCAATTTCGTATATTATCATTTACGAAAACAATATATATGTGTGCAAGTGCACAGACGTTTGTTGGATCTTTTCTATATTTATTGATAATGGTATATTTCGGATATTCACATGTTTGCAACAGTTATTCGCCTTTTTGTAAAATCGTAAATCGAGAATATTTGTTTCTTAGCCTTAGTGACAAAAGTTGTGCTTACCTTGGCATTTGTACTTCTTGGAAGCTCAAAATAATTAGACAGGTACGACAAAATGTTAAACATCGCATACCAAGGTACATAATGCGTTTCTCGATCTAAGTAACTAAGTACATAAAAAAATGTGGAAGACGAAAGTTTGCCATCCAGGACATAATAATATGCGTTATCAATTAATTGAGCACGATTATGTATAGATATATCTTCATAATTCTCATACTGCAGATAATTCGCAATTTTCGTCCATCCTATATCATTGTAATTGACTCGGTAGTATCCTGCCAGAAAATATTACCTAAATTACTAAATTTTTTTCTCAGAATATTTGTTCTTATATGCAAAAATGTTTGAAACATTAATTTCCCTTATATTTTTAACGTACTTTTAACTTTTAGTACTTTTAATTATTTAGAACAGCATAACAGCATTAACATGAAATCAAGACATTTTGAAATTTCCCATAAAAATATATCATACATCCTCGGATGATATCATAAGATATATCGATGATATTATATTGTCCTATACATATAATAGGAGAGTATAATATATTTAACTCGTATTTTGAAAACGGAAAAGAATTCATATATATTTAGTATAAAAATTATTTTTTTTGTTAAGACGAAAATTAATCGTTCCAGTATGTTTTGTGCCTACCATGATGTGATATTGCATATACATATGCACTGCATGAAAATATTTACTACATAAATAAATGATAAAGTTATACTAAACGATATATTATATCAAAGCAACTGCAAGAGCTTTTAATGTTTCGGAAATATCACTATATTCACATATCACGATTTAATACTTTTTAAATGTAAAGCTCCAGTTAAAATGAATATAATTGTACATATATCATAATATATTATAAGTGCAACCATTTTATGTAAGTAACCAATCATAACGATTTTCTCAATCAATACTTACCAAATTGGTCGAAGTTGACTATAACGAAATTAATATCAGGATGTGTGATTGTAGTAGCTACAGAATTATTGCATGGAAGCCAAACATTTAACGTATAGCTGTCACCGAGATTTTTCGCTATGAAAATGTTTACAGATATATTCCATTTGGTGCCATTGTCACAAACTATTTTAATAGATATTTTTTCACGTTCATAACTAACGTACAATTCAGGAAATTTTTCTTGCCGTAACCAACTATTCATTATGTCTGATATATTGTGAATGTGATTCTTGTCCACATCGTTAAGCTCTTGCACAACGTCCCAAAATTCATTATGCTTGTCCGAATGATGCTCCCTGAATTGTTAAAATTTAGTATTATCAACAATACGTAAATTATGTTATAAGTTGAATAAGGAAATATAACTTCTAATTTATCTGCATAACCTTAAGTCGGTTTAATGTAAGCAATTTTTATAACAGTTCTGAGAAAAATGTGGCACACTAGAAGACGCGATCAACCACGTTATAATTTCTTAGATAAAAGTTAATTGTTAAATGTACACCATTTTACTGTGAAAATGTCAACATAATTTGTGACGGTATCACGGATAAATGCACAATCAATTCGTCAAAGCTTATAAAAAAAAGTAGGATAAATAAATATAGTTTAACAAAGCCTTACTTACAATTTTCTTGCATAACTTAAGATTTGTTGATGAAAAACTTCAGGAGTGAGAATATTTGCAAACATGCGCAATATAATAGATCCTACGATAATGGATGACAACATAATATAGAATAATATAATTTAATAATAAATATATCTCAATATTGAAATACATTTTAAGAATTAATATAATTTGATATTAATGAAATGGAAGAATTTGAAGTAGTTTAACAAGCTCATACGTATGATAATTTAAATGCATTTACTCACCTTTATAACCATTGAAACGAGAATAAATAAATTTATCAATTGCATCAGTTTCGTTGGCCTTGTGTATAATGGGCTTCATCCGCAGAGATATATCATAGTAAAAAGTGGGCTGTAGAATCTGGACTGTAAAAAGATCCCCTAAGTGTGAAGAGTAGTGAGGCTAAAAACAATCACAATTACAATTAAATTATTATTATATCAATAATTACGTTGAAATTGCGTAGTTATAATATGCTCATATCACCGGTTATTAAAAATTGTTCGAGAAACAATAATTCCCACTCTGTCAAATTATTATAACTGCAGAAACTAGTTTATTTATAACGTTAAAAAGGTTCCAAATGACTTTAATTGTAAAATAATTACCAGAACTGTATAATAATGACTAAAGTACATCGCAAAAGACTCGCGTAACATGTAAGACAATGACGAGGAGACGACAGCTTGATCAAACCATTGAAGTATTTCTTGACGTGCAAGTAATTTCAAGATATCTAGTTTACGACCAGGAAAATGTAATTTTGAGTCGTAAGTGACGTCTTCTTCTCTGTAAAATTTCAAATATTTGTATTAACCTTGAGATTATATAGTCCGACTGCACGATTCATTTGAATCTATTCCGTACACATTGAAACTCTCAAAATTCAATGTTTTCATGTAATATTTATAATTACGTAATATATGGTTAAATTAACTAGAGTTAATAAAAATTTTAGGTACGTACTAGTTTATACGTTACAATCAAATTTATCAATTAAAATGTATACATTTAATTTTCTACCATATATATATATATATATATATATATATATATATATATATATATATATATATATCACATAAGCGTATATATCTTATTATAATATAAACACTCGAATTCTTTGTATATCTAATCAATTAAATGACATGACATTTTAACTAGGAGTGTCGTATACCTGTAAATAGTGAATTGTGCAAATCCTGTGGCCTTTATTGGACTAGCAGGAATCAGAATATCGTACGTTTCCGGAATCATAATTTGGCCTAACGCACTTTTAGATAAGGAGAACTTCACTATATTGGTTATTTCATGGAAGAAACGGAGTTTATTTTGCTTTATTAGACGAGCCCATATGATTTTTCTTTTTTCTATATTTATCTTAGGTTTAATTTGGCTGAGTGTATCATCGAACATGACAATTACCACTTCAGAAAGGGACATCACCGGTCTAACGGCAAAATATGTATGTTTCAAATCATTAATATCATCCAATTCTGCCACTGTTGGCATATTCGATAAAACTCTGTATGCTGTAGGATGCACAATCGAAATGTTGAAAGACGCTTTTATTTCTGGTTGATCCCAGCATGGAAATATTCTTCGCGCCGCGTTTGGTTGAAATAGGTTTGTCACCAACCACCTATTACGTTTCAAATTCATATATTTAAATATAAATTTTTAGTCATCATGTAGCTGTAGTATGACTATAATTTATGGTAATTCGTAAACGCGACTTATTAATGATATTTTGTAAGAATCTTATCTTTTCTAGTGCATTAAACGATAGACATTGATGAGGCTTGTGCATTAAGGCTTGTGATGTTTAAGTTTTTATATTGTAGCAACAAAAACATGCTACCAGAAACGGCAAATTTATCTTAATAATATATCATGACGCATAATATTTTAATATGTTCTTACCTTCGAGATTTTCTCGATACTCTATAATGATACCGATCAAGACCTGTTAAATCACCGCTCATTCGCACAATTAAAGAGAATTTTAGATAATAATGTGCAGGAGCAATGTTCTTCTTGAAATGCAGCTCCAATATTTGCGATACATTGCAATAACGAAATCTCACGGGTTTGATAATTACTTCTGTGTTTATCGGTGTCAATTTAATCTCATCTAATTGTGTTCGTATTTTATAAGCGTGTAGACTTATCGTTTTTGTCTGCTGATGAACTTGAACCAATATATTGCATATACCGAAGAATTCATTGAAATTAGGTCTTACGACAAGTTGGAGTTCATAAGCTTTTGGCTCCGTTACATTAACGGCTAAACAATCTGTAGGCGAGGCGGATGTACAGTTTCCGTAATCTCGATGAGTACGAATTTGAAACGTCGCCGTCACGACGGTTAATATGAAGACGCTTGATAGTAGGTACAAGCGCGTCATACCCATTTTTGCATCAAGTATCTGTATCAAGTAACAATAAAGTTCTTTTTAGAGCAAAGTAAAATTAGCTACGTATAATAATAAGTTGTAAAACAAAAAGAATAAATGTTTTATCTGGTATTTAATATAGTATGACTGTGAATTAACAAACTAAAAAAAAACAGACTGAATGCAGCAACGATATTATTTACCAAGAAACACCACAGAGACTTATTATCAATATTATAAATGTATATCTTAACTACTTTATATATAAGTAATACCTTTATGCTTCGATTTGCTTGGTAAATATATGTTACTATGAAGAGCAATAGAAATAATAATAACAATTTATACGAAAGACACCTTCTAAGTTAACGGTGTAAATATGCCGAGCCGTTTGAAGAGATTATAAACTATACAGCTTATAATAACAGAAATTGTAATATTTCTAATATTATTTGGGAATTTACAAACGATAACACACTCGGTTGATGAAGAATAATTTTCTAAAATTCATATGAAAATCTTATATATATGTAAATGAAGTTATGTTAAGAAATGTAATCTGAACTCTTTATATTAATAATATAGCCAAAAAATATTAGTAATAATTACTTCACTGTTTTCCTCCAGTTTATTTGAAAAGACATGAGTTATATTAATCCTAATACAATTTTCTTTTTTCCGATACTCATACTTAATGTTCTGAGTTTGTTCAAGTAAAAATGTATGTGTTATATAAAAGATAAAACGGAGATACTCTAAGGTAGAATTACTTTGCGTATATCTTTTCAGTTCCATTATTTTTAGCAGTAAATAAATATTTATGGAAATAAATTAATTAAAAAAAAATTTATAGGAGTAAACATTTATCACAATTCTAACACTTAGCAGTCCTATTCGCCACGCGGTTCTAAATCTCGATAGTATAATTTAAGCGAAACCATAAATACACTTCAACTATACTTTACCTTATCGACGAGTCACAGAATACTGATGATAACGTTGACACCTAGCATCCTTATATAAGCGCTTAGTGTCATTTAACATTCAAGTAAGAGGTCACATAACATAAAATCTTAATCGAATCACAAGCGAAAAACTTCGAGAATAATGGTTGCTAGTTTATTCAAATTTCTCATATTAGAGAAGAACAAAATATATATAATGAGTCATGCGAAAATTGCAAATCAATTTTGTAAAATATTTCTTCACATTTATAAATATAAAAAAGACCAAAAGGGAATCTCATATTTTTTCATTACGTTTAATAATTTAAACTCTTTGTGGATGAATTCATTATGGTCAGGACGGTAGAAATCAATTTAATTTTAAATTGACAGAAATATTATATTCGCCAATTATATACAGGACTTCTATTTTCTTCTTTTTGTGGTATACATATGTGCACAGTGATATCAGTTATATAATATATAGCACTATGAAAAGAAACAAGTTACAATGTGAATAAATATGACGAATAAATATATATCAAAACAGATATAATATAATATATAAAAACTAAAAAATTGTTATAACAGTTCGCAAGGCTTGTATGTGTAGTTAAATGTAACATATATATGTACCATATATATTGCCTGTTAATCTACGATAACAAAGTGAACTTTATTCCGTTTAGAGCATATATATAACATTTTACTTCACATACTACTCAATGTACGCTAAGGATACCGTCTATTCAGCAGACCAAATTAAATTAGCAATTAAATTATGTATTATAGATATATGGAGATTTAAGCGCATTGATTACAAAATATTTTTTTATATTTTAGATACGATATAATTTATTAAATCTCCACTCAGAATATCACACACGATCATTCGTCAATCTTCTTTAACTAAAAATTTTATGATTGTTCGTAAAATAGTACAGAAATTTTTTGTTCCTCTTCATCTAAGTTACAAATATACAAAAGATTTATATATTATTGTCAGACACCCTGCGTATAATGGCCATATTTTCTATTTATTAAATGAAAAAATTATTCTAATAATTTAAAGAGTCGGCTAATATCCCGTATTCGCAGCTGAATGTAATGTATATGACATTGCTCATATCGCGTGATAAGATGTTAACTTCATATTTCATTTATATCATCAAATATTTATATCATCTTACTATATCACACACTTACTTACATGATTTTATTATATTACTCAATATGTAAGTTAAAAATATCGTCTATTTAATAGGCGAAATCAAATTAGCAATTACATTATGTATTAGATATATAGACATAAGCTTTTCAATCACAACACGTTTTTAAATATACAATACAATACTATATTTTATTAAATAATACTTAATTACAATAAATTATAAACGTACAAGCAATAACATATCAAAGAAGAACGTTTACAAATTATACGTATATTTCCTGTTGTAAAATGTTACACGTGTACAACTTACAGGAAAATATTATATATATATATATATGTATATATATATATATATATTCCGTACAATATACGAATTCTATAAATGTGTCAGTATATGTTTATATTCGTATATTTGTATATATATACATACGTGAGTATGTATATAATATATGTATATATATATAAACTTATATACACATATAAAAATATACGAACAAACATGTTAGTCTAATGATTATAGTTTTAAAAATAAAATAAAAAATTATTTATGAAGAATTATTTAAATCGCCATATTTGTTGTATTGATTTTTTGGCCACTTTGAATAACTTCACTGTAACAGATTGACTATATTTATTTTACAGATGATTAAATTTATGAATTAACTTCTGTATGTAAAGAAGTCGAGCATCTAAAAATTTATTAAATACATCTTGCTGTATTGCAAACTTCGTATCAACTTCTCGAGAAAATTTCAGTACCTGAAGCAAATAATTTAGGTATATATCAGTCATAATTAGTAGTGAATTAGTGAGGCATAATTATCAAGTAATAAATTAATACTTATATATATGTAAACGCCAATGATACTACTTGACAAAAACTTAAAACTAAATATAAGAAAATTGTAAAATTTACTTCGTTAAGCTGTTCTTGAGAAAGGCTCAACATGACGTCACCCCATAGGCTCGTCAAACTGCCTATCCCGTAAATCCTGTAAATATTTATAATATATAACTAACTATAATAAACTAAATTTACTACAACTTTATAATTACAAAAACAAATAACCTTTCTGCTATAAAGGCGAAATTCCCTAATACATGTTTAAATACAGCAGTTTTTCCCAAATGCCTCTTTAGGATAGAGCGATAATGTTTTGCAAATTCTTCGGGTTGGATTAAATTATTTATGCGTTCATCACTGATAAGAGCATTCATATAATAAGTAAGAAGCCTTTCATCATCAGTACAAGCCAAATATTTAAATACATCTGTATTTTTTGTTATTAAGAAATCAGAAAATAGTGTAAACCAAGTTGTACTTTCTATTCCTTTCATTCCCATACAATACAGCCAGTCCTTCCACAAAGGTAAATTTCTAAAAATATGAAATTAAAAATGAAAAATATGTGACGAAAACATAATTTTTATAATTTCCTATAGCTAACAAGCTGATCCAGTTTAGCTCGAGGAATGTAAAAAAATAGTAATTGTAAAAAGAATCACTTTATTATTGGAGGATGTAATTCCCGGAACAACATTGTAGCAGCGGCTTCTTTACATTTCTGAAAATCAAATTTACAAGCCCATCTCGCTGCCAGCAATCTTAACGATTTCGTCATTTCATCGTCTTCAGCACGTTCTTCATATGTTATATTTTCAAGAAGGTTACCCAAACTAGTCCCTATAGACAGCTATAATATTAATCATGCAATTTTATATATTATCATTTACGAAAACAATATATATGTGTGCAAGTGCATAGACGTTTGTTGGATCTTTTCTATATTTATTGATAATGGTATATTTCGGATATTCACATGTTTGCAACAGTTATTCGCCTTTTTGTAAAATCGTAAATCGAGAATATTTGTTTCTTAGCCTTAGTGACAAAAGTTGTGCTTACCTTGGCATTTGTACTTCTTGGAAGCTCAAAATAATTAGACAGGTACGACAAAATGTTAAACATCGCATACCAAGGTACATAATGCGTTTCTCGATCTAAGTAACTAAGTACATAAAAAAATGTGGAAGACGAAAGTTTGCCATCCATGACATAATAATATGCGTTATCAATTAATTGAGCACGATTATGTATAGATATATCTTCATAATTATCAATCTGCAGATAATTCGTAATTTTCGTCCATCCTACATCATCGTAATTGACCCGGTAGTATCCTGCCAAAAAATATTACCTACACTAAATTTTTTTCTCAGAATATTTATTCTTATATGCAAAAATGCTTGAAACATTAATTTCCCTTATATTTTTTACGTGCTTTTAACTTTTAATACTTTTAATTATTTAGAACAGCATAACAGCATTAACATGAAATCAAGACATTTTGAAATTTCCCATAAAAATATATCATACATCCTCGGATGATATCATAAGATATATCGATGATATTATATTGTCCTATACATATAATAGGAGAGTATAATATATTTAACTCGTATTTTGAAAACGGAAAAGAATTCATATATATTTAGTATAAAAATTATTTTTTTTTTGTTAAGACGAAAATTAATCGTTCCAGTATGTTTTGCTCCTACCATGATGTGATATTGCATATACATACTGCATTGCATGAGAATATTTACTACATAAATAAATGATAAAGTTAAACTGAACGATATATTATATACAAGCAACTGCAAGAGCTTTTAATGTTTCGGAAATATTACTATAATCATATATCACGATTTAATACTTTTTAAATGTAAAGCTCCAGTTAAAATGAATATAATTGTACATATATCATAATATATTATAAGTGCAACCATTTTATGTAAGTAACCAATCATAACGATTTTCTCAATCAATACTTACCAAATTGGTCGAAGTTGACTATAACGAAATTAATATCAGGATGTGTGATTGTAGTAGCTACAGAATTATTGCATGGAAGCCAAACATTTAACGTATAGCTGTCACCGAGATTTTTCGCTATGAAAATGCTTACAGATATATTCCATTTGGTGCCATTGTCACAAACTACTTTAATAGATATTTTTTCACGTTTATAACAAACGTACAATTCAGGAAATTTTTCTTGCCGTAACCAACTATTCATTATGTCTGATATATTGTGAATGTGATTCTTGTCCACATCGTTAAGCTCTTGCACAACGTCCCAAAATTCATTATGCTTGTCCGAATGATGCTCCCTGAATTGTTAAAATTTAGTATTATCAACAATACGTAAATTATGTTATAAGTTGAATAAGGAACTATAACTTCTAATTTATCTGCATAACCTTAAGTCGGTTTAATGTAAGCAATTTTTATAATAGTTCTGAGAAAAATGTGGCACACTAGAAGACGCGATCAACCACGTTATAATTTCTTAGATAAAAGTTAATTGTTAAATGTACACCATTTTACTGTGAAAATGTCAACATAATTTGTGACGGTATCACGGATAAATGCACAATCAATTCGTCAAAGCTTATAAAAATAAGTAGGATAAATAAATATAGTTTAACAAAGCCTTACTTACAATTTTTTTGCATAACTCAAAATTTGTTGATGAAAAACTTCAGGGGTGAGAATATTTGCAAACATGCGCAATATAATAGATCCTACGATAACGGATGATAAAATAATATAGAGTAATATAATTTAATAATAAATATATCTCAATATTGAAATACATTTTAAAAACTAATACAATTTGATATTAATGAAATGGAAGAATTTGAAGTAGTTGAACAAGCTCATACGTATGATAATTTAAATGCATTTACTCACCTTTATAACCATTGAAACGAGAATAAATAAATTTATCAATTGCATCAGTTTCATTGGCCTTGTGTATAATGGGCTTCATTCGCAGAGTAATATCATAATAGAAAGTGGGCTGTAGAACCTGGACTGTAAAAAGATCCTCTAAGTGTGAAGAGTAGTAAGGCTGAAAACAATCATAATTACAATTAAATTATTAATCAATAATTACGTTGAATTACAATTATTAATATCAATATTTATGTTGAAATGCGTAGTTATAATATGCTCATATCACCGGTTATTAAAAATTGTTCGAGAAACAATAATTCCCACTCTATCAAATCATTGTAACTGCAGAAACTAGTTTATTTATAACGTTAAAAAGGTTTCACATTACTTTAATTGTAAAATAATTACCAGAATTGTATAACAATGGCTAAAGTAAATCGCGAATGACTCGCGTAACATGTAAGACAATGACGAGGAGACGATAGCTTGATCAAACCATTGAAGTATTTCTTGACGTGCAAGTAATTTCAAGATATCTAGTTTACGACCAGGAAAATGTAATTTTGAGTCGTAAGTGACGTCTTCTTCTCTGTAAAGTTTCAAAAATTTGTATTAACCCTGAGGTTATATAGTCCGACTGCATGATTCAGTTGAATCTATTCCGTATACATTGAAACTCTCAAAATTCAATGTTTATGTAATATTTATAATTACTTAATATATGGTTAAATTAAATAGAGTAATAAAAATTTTAGGTACGTACTAGTTTATACGTTACAATCAAATTTGTCATTTAAAATGTATACATTTAATTTTCTACTATAAATATATACATATATATATATATATATATATATATATATATATATATATATATATATATCATATAAGCGTATATATCTTATTATAATATAAACACTCAAGTTCTTTGTATATCTAATCAATTAAATGACATGACATTTTAACTACGAGTGTCGTATACCTGTAAATAGTGAATCGTGCAGATCCTGTGGCCTTCATTGGACTACCAGGAATCAGAATATCGTTCGTTTCCGGAATCATAATTTGGCCTAACGCATTTTTAGATAAGGAGAACTTCACTATATCGTTTATTTCGTGGAAGAAATTCAGTTTATTTTGCTTTACTAGACGGGCCCATATGATTTTTCTTTTTTGTATATTTATCTCAGGTGTTTCAGTTTGGCTAAGCGTATCATCGAACATGACAATTACCACTTCAGAAAGAGACATCAACGGACTAACGGCAAAATATGTACGTTTCAAATTACTAATGTCATCCAATACTGCCACTGTTGGCAGATTCGATAAAACTTTGTATGCTGTAGAATGCACAATCGACATGTTGAAAGACGTTTTTATTTCTGGTTGATCCCAGCATGGAAATATTCTTCGCGCCGCGTTTGGTTGAAATAGGTTTGTCACCAACCACCTATTAAATTTCAAATTCATATATTTAAATATAAATTTTCAGTCATCATGTAGCTGTAGTATGACTATAATTTATGGTAATTCGTAAACGCAACTTATTAATGATATTTTGTAAGAATCTTATCTTTTCAAATGCATTAAATGATAGACATTGGTGAGGCTTGTGCATTAAGGCTTGTGATGTTTAGGTTTTTATATTGTAGCAACAAAAACATGCTACCAGAAACGGCAAATTTATCTTAACAATATATCATGACGCATAATATTTTAATATGTCCTTACCTTCGAGATTTTTTCGATACGTTATAATGATACCGGTCAAGGCCTGTGAATTCGCCTCTCATTCGCACAATTAAAGATAATTCTAGATAATAATCTGCTGGAGCAATGTTATTCTTGAAACGCAGCTCCAATATTTGCGATACATTGCAATAACGAAATCTTACGGGTTTGATAACTACCTCTGTGTTTATCGGTGTCAATTTTATCTCATGCAATTGTGTTCGTATTTTATAAGCGTGTAAACTTATCGTTTTTGTCTTCTGATGAACTTGAACGAATATATTGCATACACCAAAGAATTCATTGTAATTGGGTCTCAGAATAAGTTTGACTTTATAAGCTTTTGGCTCCGTTACATTAACATCTAAACGATCTGTAGACGAAGCGGACGTACAGTCTCCGTGATCTCGACGAGTACTAATATCAAACGCCGCCGTCACAACGGTTAATATGAAGACGCTACTTAATAATAGGTCCAAGCGTATTATACTCATTTTTGCATTAAGTATCTGTATCAATTAACAATAAAGTTTTTTTTTAAGACAAAGTAAAATTAGCTACGTACAAAAATAAAACGAAAATATAAAACGAAAAGAATAACCTCTTGTCCACAACCTTGCTTTAATTCTTAAGCCGTAAGAAATTGATCAACCACAATTGATTATTTTTAAAATAATCGACTGTGGTTGATCAATTTATTATGGCTTAAAGATTAAAGCAAGGTTGTGGATAAGGGGTAAATATTTCATTCGGTATTTAATATAGTATGACTGTGAATTAACAAATTAAAATGAACAGAATGCAGCAACGATATTATTTACCAAGAAACACCACAGAGGCTTATTATCATTATTATAAATGTATATCTTAACTACTTCATATATAACCCAGTCAACACAAAGTATCATCCATATTACAATGTCAACTTAATTATATTTTATATTATGTAACTGTTACTTTGTTATATAACAAAGTAACAGTTACGTAATATACTATGTGATGGAGCTGACATTATAACATCGATGATATTTTGTGTTTACTGAGAAATAATATCTTTCGATAAATTGTAATATATTTCGACTAATATGTTTCGATATGCTCGCTAAATATATATACCATGAAAAACAATAGAAACAATAATATAACTATTTACACGAAAGACATCTTCTAAGTTGAAACGGTATAAATACGCTGAACCGTTCAAAGAGATTATGGATTATACAGTTTATAATAATAGAAATTATAATATTTCTAATATTATTTAGGAATTTAACACAATAACACATTCAGTTAATAAAGAATAATTATCTAAAATTTATGTATGAAAATCTTATATATATATATATATATATGTAAACAAAGTTCAATAATCTGAAACTCATTATACTAATAATATACCGACAAAATATTAGTAATAATTATTTCGCTGTTTTCTTCCAATTTATTTGAAAAGATATGAACTATTTTAATCCTAATACAATTTCCATTTTTCGATCTCACATTTAATGTTCTGGTTTTGTTCAAGTATTTGGGGACAAATATATGTGATATGTAAAAGAAAGAATGAGGACTTTAAGGATACTTTAAGGTAGAATCAGTTTGCGTATATTTTTCCAGTTCCATTACTTTTATCAGTAAATAAATATTTATAGAAATAAATTAATAAAAAAAAACTAATGAGACTAAATGTTTATCGTATTTCTAACATTTGGAACTCTTACCCGCCACACAGTTATAAATCTCGATAATATAATTTAGGCGAAATCATAAATACATTTCAACTATACTTTACCTTCTCGACATCGACGAGTCACAGAATACTGATGATAATGTTGGCATCTGGCATACTTATATAAACGCCTAGTATCACTTAACATTTAAGTAAGAGGTCACATAATATAAAATTTTAATCAAAGCGAGAAGCTTCGGGACTAATAGCTACAAGTTTATACAAATTTCACATATTAGAGAAAAACAAAGTATACTTAATAAGACATACGAAAATTGTAAATCAATTTTAAAACACATATTTCTTCACAATTATATATATAAAAAAGATCAGAAGAATCTCTTTCATAATTTTTCATTATATTTAATAATTTAAATTCTTCGTGGAAGGATTTATTACGGTCAAAACGGTATAAATTAATTAATTTTAAATTAACAGTAATATAATATCATATGAGAGGAGGTCTATTTTTCTCCTTTTGTGATATACATATTTACACAGTGATATTAATTATATAATATATAGCGGACATCACTATTAAAAAAATATGACGGAAGTTATAATGTAAATAAATATGATAAATAAATATTAACTGATGTTATATACTAGATAAGTAATAAAAAATTATTATAATAATTTGCAAGGCCGCCTTGTATGCTGCTAATGTAGCTAAACATAATATATTAATATTTATTATAGTGATTATATAATAAACATATATGTAACATTATATTCTTAATTATATTAATATTATAAATATATTGCCTGTTAACCCACGATAAGGAGATGGCTTTTATTCCGTTTATGGCAAATATATAATATTTTACTACGCATAATACTTAATGTACGTTAAGAATGTATTGTCTATTTAGCAGGTCAAATAAAATTAGCAATTAAATTGTGTTAGATATATGGGTAAGTGCAACTGTTACAAAATATTTTTAAATACGATATAATAATTTATTAAAAAATATAATATAATAATTTATAAAACAATATAATATAATACAATATAATAATATAATATAATTTATAAAATAATATTTAATTATAATACCTATACGTTATACATGTATAATTGTACGTAGCTATTATATACCGAAAAAAAACATTTATAAATATATGTATATTTCTTATTGCAAATTGCCACAATTATGTAAAAATTGAATATTTGTATATGTATATTCAATAATTACTGATGTATTCTATACATGTACATGAGCATGCATGTTCTACGCATCAATATTCATGTACATGTGCATACATATATTTATATATATACATATATATGAATGTATGTATGTATAAATACGTAGAAACATATCCTAATCTTTAGAAATAGAGCAAAAAATCATTAATTTATTTAAACATATATTTGGATACGATTATTTGTCTAAATTGAACGATATGATGTAGATTCATTTATCTCGCATCAAACAATTTTGGAGACAGAAACTGCTTGAATTTTTTTTGTTTTAAAAAGAAGTGAATTTATCCTTTAAATCTATTATTTGGTGAAAACGCACATTTGCAAATTTTTTAATTGTACTTCGCTCTGTTGAAATCTCGTCAAAGATATGACTTGAAAACTTAACCATCTAAAGCAAATAATTTGAATATACATCACTAAATTAGTAATGATTCAATGAAATATTAAAGAGGTTAGGGAAGCCATAAACGACCGTACATGTTTATCAAGTAATAAGTTACTTATACAAAATATCTAATAATTCAAGGAATAATGCTTATATGCAGATAGTAGAGATCAAACTGACCAGGTATGTCATTCATTATTTTGTAAAGTTTACAATAAATATTAAGAAACAAAAAGTTAACAATTATTAATTTTTTATTTATTAATCTATACTGCAAACTTTATAAATTATAATTAAATAATATGAGCCAATATGAGAGTACAGGAAGCAGTAGGACGAGGTCTACGCTTGTCTAATGAGAAATGGTTCCTAAGTTGTAAAGAAAATATTTTACATTTTATAATCTCCTTATATACGCGCGCGCGCACGCCACACACACACACGCACATATATATATGGATGTTTTATATCTTATAATAGCAGCGAATCAATCATATCAGTTTAAGTCAGATAATAACGCGAAACGAAGTAACACAATGAATAACAAGCGGCATGTATCATGAGGCGCGACAAAAAAGCGCTTACTATAAATTAACGCTTCTAGTTGCTGAAAATTTTCAAAAAGCAGAACATGTCTTTTAGAAGCTAAAAATATTTTTCTTTAGATATGTCTAAAGAGAACTGTACCGCTTCCTATAAACTCATTCGCTCATCATATTTCATTAATTTCTTTATATCTATTACGTAATTTGTGCATAATAATATATAATTTTCTTGTATAGTTGATCCGTACTACATGAGTTATGCCTTAAGCTATTAGATTTGATATATATTCAGAGCCGAGTGAAATTAGTAAGATAACGTATAAAATAAAATAAATAAGAAGCAATTATAAAATTTACCTGTTCAATTTGTGCTGGATGCAGATTAAAAATAATATCGCCACATAGAATATTAAAATTGCGCATTTCATAAACTCTGTAAATTTAAATGTCCAACTTATACAATAAATCGATACAATTATAAAACTACTATTAATGATAATCGAAAAGAGAAAGATTACCCATTTAATGTATTATTGAAATTTTTTAAAACATTTTCGAATATGGAATTTTTTCTCAAATGTCTCTTTAAAATAGAGCGATAATGTATTGGAAGCTCCTCCACTCCAATTAAATTCATTATACGTTCATCTTTCGTAAGCTTATCCATGTAATAAATAAGGAGCGTATCATTATCAGTACAAGCCAAGTATTTGAATGCATCTGTATCTTGTATTCTAAGGAATTTAGAAAATAACGAATGCCAAGTAGTACTTTTTATTTCCTTCATACCCATACAGTATACCCAGTCCTTCCACCAAGGTAAATTCCTTAAACAAAATTAAAAATTAAACAAATGTAACTAAAACATAATATTTGATCTTAACCTACAGTTAATTAATTGATTTAGTTTAGTATAAGAAACGTAAAAAAGCGATGACTGTAAGGAAACTCACATCTGTTTCGGAGAAGATCCTAATTCCTCAATTAATTTTGAAGCAGCAACTTGGTGGCATTTCATATGACCCAGTTCACAAGCCCATCTTGATGCTAATAATCTTAATGAGTTTGTCATCTCATCGTCTTCAATACGTTCTTCATATCCTATATTTGTAAGAAGACTATCCAAACTATCTAATATAACCACCTGTAATTCGTCAAATAATAATAATCATAGAATATTACGCTTTCATTCGCGAAGTCATTATGTATGTGTGCAAATGCACATCTATTTGCTTTAGTTTTTCTGCTTTTATTGATAATGCTGCCTCGAATATCAATATTCCGAACACAATTCACCCAATTTATAATAATGTAAATCGAATATATATGCTTTCTAGTTTTTATAAAGAAATTTAAATGCACCTACCTTGATACTTTTACTACTTGGGAGCCTCATATAAGTGGACATGTACGACAAAATATTGAACATAGTATACCAAGGTACGTAATGCGTTTCTCGTTTCAGATATGTAATGAGATTAAGAAATATAGACACCGATAATTTACCACTAATCACATAGTGATACGCGTCATCAATAAGTTGAGCTCTATTTTGTACAGGTATGCTTGTATAATCTTCATATTGCAAATAACTTGTAATTCTTGTCCATATTCTAATATCGTAATTGACACGATAAAATCCTGCCATAAAATATGTTGACCATATCAAACAATTTCTTCTAATACATTAGATAATAAAATGATTCTTTTTATATATATATATATATATATATATATATATATATATATATAAATATACAAGAACAGGGTACATTATAATCAACTCGTATAAGCTACAAGTAACATTCTGCTATAGCAGAAAGCGGGAAGAATGTAATGCATTTATTATATTATTATTAATAATGTTAATATATTGTTATGTTTCATATAAGAATAAAACAAGCAGCCAATATTTACTAAGGATATTGTCACTTCAGATCCATTCAAAATTGATTACTTGGCATAACTGTGAGTGGTGGCTTACATTTATGTGAACACTGCAATTCCAAATATGCTATTTTTAAACATGTACGCGTATACTTTAATAAAAATCTTCTTATACGTTACTTTCGGTATTAAATCGCATTATTTAATAAATTAATAATATGTAAATAATGATTACGTTTTAAACGTTAAATAACATGATTTAAAACGGTAAGAAACGTGTAATAAGAAATTCAGTCAAAATAACATACGTTGATTTGCAATGAACACACATGGAACGCTTCTAATTTTATTAAAAGAAATGTCTAAACCGTTATGCAACTATCTCTAAACACATAATAAAATCATATATACACACTACGTCATGTCCAACTTGCTATTTTCTAGATTAAAAATTACGTAATTTTTTGCTTTGAATATACATAGGTAAAGTAAAAAACAGTAGAAGCATTTTTAGTTCATAGTAGTCCTGTCGCTATATATAAAATCAATACAAGAGTGAATAAATAACTAGTAAGAAGTAGCACAAGTATCATAAATATGTTATAAATGCTATTGTTGTGCAAACAACCTGTCGTAACGATTATTTCAATCAATACTTACCAAATTGTTGCAAGTTGACTATGGCGAAGTTAATGTCCTCAAAATCTAATACAGCTATAAATCCAGGACATTCAATCCAAGTAATATTATCTGACATTATTACGTTACCCTGATTTGAAATTGATAGAATATTAAAAGGTATATCCCATTTGGTATTGTTGTAACAAATTGCTTCAATATCCACTGTTATATTATCAAGAGTAACATATAATTCAGGAAAATGTTTTTGTCGTAACCAGCCATTTATTGCGTATGATAAATTGCGGATATCTCTCTCTTTTTCAAAAGCTTCCACAACGTCCCAGAAGTTTTTCTCGACAGGCCGAGACATTCTTCAATGTAAAAATTTTACTTTATTAACAATATATAAACTCTGTTATAAATGAAACAGAAAAATACATCAACTGGATGTGTATCTTCCATGAATTGAAATAATTAAAGAATCCCTTCAAAAGTTCCATAAATTTTCGACACGTAGTGAAAAATGATCAATCCATATATTATAATTTAGCAAACAATAATATAATAGTTAAATATGACGTAAGTTCCTAAATATTATCTTGTTAATTTCCTGTATATTACATGGATAATTATAACATCAACTTGTAAGACGTAAAAAGAGAAACAGAACGAATGATTATATTCATATTTGTGTTACTCACAATCTATTTATGTACTGCCAGATTTTTTCATGAAAAACGTTTGGGGTGACCACATGTTCCAGCATGCGTAGTATAATAGACCCTGTGATAATATGAATGATATAGATTAATATTCAATCTAACTAATCATTAAAATATATAGTGACGCTAAAATACATTGTACCACATACATATATATATCAACTCAGTATATTTTTTCATTTTTTGCATGTGGAAAAATTTTTAGTAATTCAAACAAACTTGTAAACATATGACAATTTAAATTTATTTACTCACCTTTATAGGCATTCAGACGAGAATAAAGAAATTCGTCAATTGCATCAGTTTTATTACTTTCGTGTATAACAGACTTCATTCGCAGAGCAGTGTCATAATAGAGAATAGGCTGTAGGATCTGCACTGTAAAAAGATCCTTTAAATGTGAAGAGTGGTAAGGCTGAAAACAATCGTAATGAAGATTAAGTGAATATCGTATCAATAATTGCCTTAATTCTAGGATACCACACTTTCAAAAAATCACGAGGCTGCCACATTTGGATAATGACTACCTCACGTCATATATTTCGTTATAATTTCCACAAAAGTCAATTGATTCCATAAAAATTATTTTTCCATTGAAACGACAGTCTTCATTTGCTTATAAAAAAGTTGATAATTCCCAAAATGGCAGACCTTCAAAACTTTACCCCACAGTGTGGTAACCTAGGATTAAGATCCACACAAGTAATATTTTCATTTTTTCTGTTAATGAAAATTAATCGTAATTCATATATTCCTATTCTATCAATCAACTGTAATTTCACAAACTTGTTTACTATACACTTTAATATAATGCCCTAGTTTTCAAATTACCTCAATTGAAAAATAATGACTAAAATACATCGCCAATGACTCTCGTAACCACGGCGATGAGATGCCCAATTCACTAAAGTATTGAAATGTTTCTTGCCGTGCAACAAATTTCAGTATTTCAAGTTGGCGACCAGGAAAATGAAGGGTTTCATTATAAATAACGTTCTGTTCTCTGTAAAATTCAAATCGTGTCATTGTCCGCGGCGATTATGTAATCTCAGTGTATAGATCAAATAAAATTCGAACATGTTCAATAGGGAAGAAAATGCTATTATGGGAATATGAGACAAAGCTGATTCTTTAAACAATTTCTGCAATCTATTGTCGATTGATGCATTATCGTGCATAATTATGAACTAATCTTCTTTAATTAATAATTAAAAATTTATTTAGTTATTTGCAAAATGTTAGAGGACTATTTTATTTATTCACTTAATTTACAAGCGCGTAATGACTGACATCGCTATCTTATTTGCATAACTTATTTGCCGTATTCCCTGTCATTATTCGTCAATCTTCTTTAATTAATATTGTAAATTTTGTTAACTTTTAAGTATTATTTAGCTTTAGCTAAACTTTAGCCAAACTCAAAATTTTAGCTAAACTCTCAATTTTATGTGCTTATTTGCAAAATTGCACAAGATTTTCTGATTAATTTGATGAGTTGTATTTACACACAACAGATGTCATTAATTGTTAGACAACCGGTCAGACAATCGGAAACAAATATAAATAATTAATTAATAAATTATTAGATAACTTACAATTATTAATTAAAACCTGTTCATAAAGTTGTTTAAATAATTAATATAAAATTACATATATATTTTTTAATTAACTATTTATATTAATTTTATATATATTTATTTTTTAGTTAACTTTTTCAACATTTCTAACATTTGGTCGATATCCTAATATTTTAAATACGTGCATTGTATACCTGTAAATAGACAGTCCAACAGAACTTGCAGACTTCACTGGGAGCTCGGAATACACCACGTAGTCCGTTTTTGGAAGTATAGTTAAGTTTATATTCGTACTAAACAAGGTTGTCTTCACTATATTAATCAGAGACAAGAATAATGTAAGTAGTCCTCTTCTTTTCCGACGAATCCAGAAGATTTCCTTTCGTCGCTCATTAAGGAAGTTGTGCGTTATAAATTCACGAGATGTTTTGAACATGACAAACGCCACTTCAGAAGGGGCTATCAACGGACTGACGTCAAAATATGTATGTTTCACTAACGCATCAGACATTTCTGACACTATTGGCGTGTTCGATAAAATAATATATTCCTTAGGATGGATGATTGAAATATTGAAGGGTGCTTTCATTCCCGGTTCGTCCCAACATGGAAATATTCTTCTCACTGAGTTTGATTCAAACAAATTCGTCATAAACCACCTATTGTATTTCAAATACATGCATTTAAAAAATATAAATTTCCAACTATTTGTGGTTTATAACTTTGTGTCAATAGTTTATGTATATTGTATATTGGTAGAAGCTGCTGATTAGTGAAATTTTGTAATGATCCAATGTTTTATTATATATGTTAGTCGATAACTATTATCATCTTAAAAATTTATATGATATTATAGCAGTAATCCTGCCAGAAACGAAAAGTTGACTTTACCAACCACACACAATAACATATAACATTTTAATAGTTACTCACTTTTCAGATTTTCTCGAAGAATGTTTTTCTTGACGAAACTGGACAAGGCCTTTAAATGCGTTACGTTCCATTGGCACGTATAAAGAAAAGTATAGATTATAATGCGCAGGAGTGATGTAATTTTCGAAATGCAAGTATAGTATCTGTGATGCGTTGCAATACTGATATTTTACGGGAGAGATCTTGCTTGTCTTTATATTTGCCGTTCTCAGTTGTATGAATTGTATATATATCTCCATTTTATAAGCATAAACACTTATTGTCTTCGTACTCTGATGAACTTGTATCCATATATTGCACGAACCAAAAAATCCATCGAAACCAGGTCTTAGAACAAAATTGATTTCGTAAGCCTTTGGTTCCGTTACATTAACATCTAATCGACCTCTGCGTGAAGCGAACTCGCAATCCCCAACATCTCTCTTTAAGTTTATAACTAATGGTGCCGTCACAATAGTTAATATGAAAGCGCTACTTGACAAGAAATAGCATATCATACCCATGTTTACATGAAGTCTCTGCACAATAAAATAGTTTCTGTATCAGAATTAAAGTTATTATATGAGAATTTAGTTGCAGACAAGGATGCAGTACAAGAATGCTGTAGAAATATTTCTTTATTTATAGTAGTTTAATTGAATGATTAAAACAAATAGACTGACTGCAATGATAATTTTATTTATTAAAAGCACGGTGCATGTTTATTATTAGTATTGAAAACCTACGCATTATCTATTTTAAATATACATTCTTAAGCTTCAATTTTCTTGATAAACATAAAATGATGAAAGAATAATAGGAACGATAATGACAACTATGTGTGCTAAAAACTTAAATGAAGTTATCTTAAAAGTTGTACAGTATATGTACGCAGAACGTTGAAATATATGGTTAAAATACTTGTGTTTTAATAAATCGATATATATATATATATATATATATATATATATATATATATATATATGACGATGAAAGATGAAGAGACGAACATCTCCATTTCATTTTTATTTTTATATCACCACGAAACTTTATTGGTACATACATACCTCACTCGCTGAGTTCTTTCAGATAATTTTCATAGGATATCTTTCGATTTGATCGAATATCATCTGTAATTAAAGATAATTACCGATCGGCGATAATTAGATGAGTCAAGGAATCGCTTCTTCTTAATTTTCTCGATCAAATGCAACCAATATACTGTTCGGACGATCTATCCGTTGCTTAAATATGGGAGTTTTCTCTCAATATAGAAAATATCAGTTACAGTATCAGTTATAATTATTGCAATTGTCAATATTTTAAATATATCCTTTGATGTGTGTGTGTGTGTGTGTGTGTGTGTGTGTGTGTGTGTGTATGTTGCGTTGAATCTTTGTTTGTGTATTTGTCTGTCTGTACTAACAATAATACTCAACTGACTCGGGTCCGTACGGAAAAGTTATTATTTGAAACTCGTCTCAAGTGAAATATTCACATATGAATTCGAAGTTCAGACAGATAATCATTTCACCAGACAAATTTCAAATGACTATTATTAATATACACCTTAAAGTTGAATTAATAAAATTACTTGAAACTTAACATACATGAGATATCCAGAAATTAATTTGAAGATAGATGTTAGATATCTGATGATAATTAAATGTCAGTTTTTCAGCTGAATTGTAAATGTAATGTCACATCGATGACATTTAAAAAACTCAACAGTAGCTCTACATTCAGAATATTATACCTTTCAGATAAATTTCAAGTGACGACTATTAATACAAGAATATTTTTCTACATTCCTTAAACATTTCAATCAAGTTCAAAAATCTTTTTAGACATATTATAGTTACTATATTACAGTATTTTCGTGAACCATGAATATTAATTTATTTTCCTTCGATTTATTTAACAGTGTGGAATATATATACCGTTTAACATAATTTCTATCTTGTAACTCTTCACGCTGATGGTTTTAATTTCTGTTTATGTATGCTAGATTTAATATATATCATGAATCGCAAAATTAAGGATATACAGAATGGAAATGCGCACTTTTAAATATTTGGATCGTTAAACGGATATTAAATATAATACTCGTTCATCATTTTCCTAACGTTTGATGAACATTGATAACTTTTATTTACACGTATTCATAGATATACTTTACCTATACTTTACATTCTCCACGGATCATGAACGACTGATGACAACGACGACACTTAGTGTGTTTATAAACGTAGAGAATCGGGTGATCGGGTCTTGACTTCAACATCGAGAAGACACTATGTCGTATTTTACTATAATGCTATATATACTTATTTACTTACGCTAAACGATAAAATTTATACTTTTCTTTGTTACTTTTCTCTGTTTTATATATTAAAGGAAAACAAAAAATCTAACAAAATATGTGAATATAGTGGTTTTATTTTCAGTATATATGTGTAAATTTGGTTTAATAATGATTTGAAAATTTCTTGAAATGCAGTTTAGGAAGTAGCTAAGAGTCTGATGTACTTAACTTTTGACAACTTATCAAGATATATACTCACTGGACTCATTTAGAGCTTTGGAATCCAATACTGTATCGAGAAAAATGTATCCAAATCATATGGTAACGAAGAACGAACTCAATTTCAAAACGATTTGCTAACAATCTTAATGATTTAGTTAATTCGTCTTTTTGCATATTTTCTGTGTACAATATATTCTTTAGAAAACTATTCAAAATGTCCAATATTATTAGGTCTTTTAGGTATATCTAAAACGTATTTTTGACATTTGTGCTATTTATGTGTTCTTTGTGCGATGCATTAGTGGAACTTTTATCTAAGTTAGTGTAGACTGGAATTTATTAGATGCGCCACAATTCACAATTTCGAAGTTACAACTTTTCAGACATCTAATTGTTGTGATTGTTGATATAAACATAATAAAAGCAATCTTCTCCTATGTGTTAATGCCTTCCACTATCCTGTTAATAATATATTTCGTCTTTAGGTTCCGTGCTCTCGTACGTAAATACTACTTGTTAAATTGAAGTACGTTACATTTTATTTATAACTATTTTTCACTGGAAATTGCAGGATAATTATTATACAATATATCATATGAGTTAACTGTCATAGGAGAAAAAAAAGTCGAAAGGGTGATATATGTGTGCAACGAATTAATGCAAGTGAAATAATTTATCATAATAATGCTTACAGTTTTTACACAACTATTACTGCATCTAGAGCTTTGAAAATTTCAACATTTGTTTCCTTTTATAATCCGCAAGATCAGAGTTCATCATATTCATGTTAAAATTTTATTCAACCAGCTGTATTTCTACAAATTATTGCATAGGCTCCGTTTAATCATTATTTGTGATTTGTTTCTTATTAAAATAAACTATACTCTTTCATAAAGAGTTATATAGGAACAAGAAAACAATTTCAATAAATAATAATAAAAATATCTACTTGGCTTTTCATAAAATAATACAATGCCCATTTACAAGTAGAAAAAAAGAAGGTTCATAATATACAATATCAAAGTATATTATCAAGCAATTATTACTATTTATGGCCCAATTCATTATATTGGGTCACTACAATAATATCAAAGCAAATATTTCAATTATATATATATATATATATATATATATATATATATATATATATATATATACTGAATTTTATACTGAAAATTACAAGATAACTATCTTAATAATATATCACACAAGTCAACTGTTACTGGGGAGAAAATGGAGAAAGTAATTACGTGTGCGTAACAAATTAATGCGAATAAAATCAATTATTGCAAGATCAAAATTTATCATATTTATGTTATACTCAGCCAACTGCATTCTTACAAATTATTGTGAAGATTCCACTAAGCTGTCAAAGTTGTGTCAAAGTTGTGATACACTTAATTATTATATATATAGTATATATATTTAATTACATTTAATTATATATATAGTATATATATTTAATTACATTTAATTATTATATATATAGTATAATCCGTTTATTATATTATTTTACTATTCCATAAAAAAATATGTAGGAAGACAAAAACAGTTTTTCAATAAATACCGTAATAAAAATATTTATTTAATAGATAAAATAATACAACACATATTTATTTAATAGATAAAATAATACGATACACATTTACAAATAGAAAACAGACGTAGGTTTATAATATACACTATCAAAGTGTATCATCAAGCAGTGATTTACTACTATTATGGTAGAATATTTACTATTTATGGTACAATATTGCGTCATTATAATAACATCAAAGCAAATATCTTTATCATTATATTAAATATAACTTCTATTACTAAGTTAGATCTAATATTATTTATAATTGCAGATATTATACTAGATGCAAATATATAATATTGATGATTACTACATTAATGTTATTCATATTCTTCAATACGTCTTTAATCTATTTATTGCCTCTAATATCTAATCATCTAACAAATTTAATACTCTGTTCTTCCAAAATAGCGGAAATGGTAGGATATTTTCTCTAATTGTGTCTTCCGTTGATTAACAAGAAATGCAATTTTACGTTTCTCCTCCTTTGTGAATTTTTGACTTGATGTTACAAATTCTATTATCTGCAGAAAACAATTTCGACATGTACAGATAATGTACGGATAATGTAAAATCGTAATTGATGGAAAAGAGTAACCAGAATTAATCACAGAATATATTAATAAAATATCGGAAAGAAGTAAGATCTAACTATGAAATTTTACCTCTTTAAAATTATCCTTGGAATATAATTCCATAACGGTGACACCCAATACTGTGATTGGAGACATACTACCCAAAATACTGTGAATAAAACAAATAAAATTTATTAATACTAAAATATAATTTGATTATAAACTGCATATATATATATATGAAAGAAATATTACGTTGACGTTAAGTTATCATAATTCTCTAAGATATGCATCAGCACAGCATTCTTCCTTGCATGTTTCTTTACAAAAGAACGATATGCTGCCATAATAATCTCATATGACATCTCTAGATCTCTACCGTCATGGTTTGATATCCTTAATTCCTCATATTTTAATTTCCATAAAAATTCCAAATAAGCAAGGAGTGCATGTTCATTTTCAGTACATGCCAAATACGTTAAATGCTCTTGAGTATAGTTGCCAGAATTTTTATCTAAAAACTGACGCCAAACCTGTAGATTTGCTTCCATCAAACCACCACAATATAACCATTCCTTCCACCACGGTCGAATTCTATGACATACATCAGAAACACCTCACTCAAAAATTCTTTATTCAAAAGTTTTCTCCAAACTAATACTATGATATAGCATGCAAGATGCAAAAAAAATTGAAGTTATCGTTACTAATAAAGTGAGGTACACGCACATAGAGGAAAATTTGTTGAGATAAGTCAGTACAAAAGTGGCCGTTTCCCTGCATGACTTATGGCCGAATTTACAAGCCCACTTTAATCCTAATAACCTTAAAGATTTGATCATATTGTCTTCCTCAATGTTTTCAATGAATCCAATCTTCTCAAGAAGACTATCCAAAATTTCTAACACATATGACTGCATATATAAAAAAAATATAAATTTTTAATTGCTTGTCGTTCGTAATGACGCAACATATATAAATTTCTTGAATGCATACAGTGTAATTATTTTGTACTTATTATGTATTATATTTGGATAATATATTATATACCCAAACCACTCGAGAGACATTTTCAAATGAAAATGCATGTAATATACTGATTCATATATATATACGAAAGAATATTTTACAACTTGCCTTGAATTGTTCACTTGCTGGTAATTCAAAGTACTTCGACATGTACATTAAAATATTAAACATAGGGTACCAGGCTACATAATGCCTTTCCCTTCTTAAGTATCTAATCAGACGTACGAACACAGAGACTTGGAGTTTATTATTTGTCACAAAATAATACGCATCATCAATTAATTGAGCGCGATTCAAAACATTAATTTGGGTATAATTATGAAAATTTAAGTAAGTACAGATTTTGTCCCAGTTTCGGTAATCGTAATTGACGCGATAATATCCTGCAATTAAAAAGAAAATTAGCTTGTCGTATTAAGCTATTATATCATATTCTTTAGTCGTATTTATTGAGGACTCGTTCGTTAGTTCTCATGTCTCTTTCGAGAGCATAATAAAAAAAGATTCGAATCTTCACGGATATCATCAAATATAAAATGTTATTTAACTTAAAGTAAACGTAAGGACATAGATAATCAGCGATAAATACTCACCAGTATATTTCATATTAACTATTATGAAATCATTAATATCCAATTTACTGATATATATATCATAAGGCTTGATACAATAAAATAAAATTTTCGATGTAACATTCATGAAAGTAAAATTTGATATCTTGAGACAAGTTATAGGTATTTTCCAATTCGTTTCGTTGAAATTATATGCTGAAAGTGTTGCAAACCCATTATAATCACAATCGACTTTCAACTCAGGAAAATGCCTTTTTGTCATCCATGTATCCATTATTTCAGTTATGTTGTAGAGCAATTTGTCATTATTTGTTAAGGAACTTTGCACAATAGCCCAAAAATCACTAATAGAGTCTGAGGTAACCTCACTAAGCAAATAAAAATAGATTTTAGTGACAATATGCGAATTTTGTATTAGGTTGTCAGAAAAGTTCGTGCCGTTTTGAAGTTAAAAATGAAACAGTAAATTAAGATATTGAAACGTTTCTTCAATCCATGACATAATCTCCATTTTAATCGATAATCTGCTGCCATCAAAAGTCATACCAATTCAACTTACCTTATGACTGTTTCTGTCACCAAAGGTATATGTCGGAAAAATGGCACGAACTTTTCCGACAACCTCATTCTAATTTAAATCTTGAAAAAATTACTGCCTTATTTCATGTCGATTTTGTAAATTATAGTCCCAGCAGACATGATAACGTTTTAATACCGGATGACAGACAACTCCAGCGTCAATTATACGTCATTAATAGAGTTAATGTCGTATTACAATTTAGGGTAAAATTACCAAATGATACATTTATGACATATGAAAGAAATCTTAAAATTCCGAAGAAGTCTTACAAAATTATTAGGATATTGTGTAGCAATTTAAGACACCTCAGAGACATTGTTTCAAAATGTCTTAAGCAACGTGTATTTAAGACATATTTAGACTCGCGTGTTTTCGTGAAATATTAAAATATTAATCAGGATGCACTATTATCGTATTATATTATGCATTACTCACCATTCCTCCGCACATTTCCGAATACTTTCCTTGTAGACATATTCCGGTGCTTCAAGAGAATAAAACAACATGCGCATTATAGCAGCTCCTGCAATAATTTATAAGCGGAATAAATTAACTTAATCGTAGAGTACTATATTTAGGTATAGTATTACTTGGGTGTAGCATATATGTGCTATTATTGAAACGGCTACCGTTTCTATATAATAAAAAATACGGCAGAATTTAAGTTGGAGAAAAAGCTTCTTTCCAACACAAACTGCTTGCTACGCAGCCTTATCTATTTAGCACTATCTGTTTAACATATCTAGCAAATATCATTAAAATAAGTTCTGATGTAAAAATTCTTCACATTAGCGCAACAATATTTTTTTTATACTACATCATCCTATATTTATTCTGCA